TACATCCAAATGTATGAAGTCTAAATTATCTTCAGAAATAAAATTTGCTTTAGCATTTTTGTCTGTCTTCTTCAGGGAGGCTTGATACAGCTCAACCAGGTGCTTTGGCGTACGACATGTACGTGACCAGTACCCTTTTCCTCCACATCTATAGCATGTATTTTCTGCCTTTGCTGCTTGCACCACTTCATGCTTTTGTTCCTTCCTTTTCCACTGCTGGTGGTGAGGAGGGTTCTTTGGTGCATTATTATTATCATGATTAAAGTTTCTGCCCTGACCATGGCCATGACCACGACTGGGGCCATGTCCTCTTCCACGCTTAGCTTGGTGGAAGTTCGTCTCATTCACTTCAGGGAATGGACAAGAACCAGTAGGTTGGCTTTCATGGTTTTTCATTAATAACCCATTATGTTGCTCGGCTACAAGAAGATGTGAGATAAGTTTAGAATACTTTTTGAATCCCATCTCTCGATATTGCTGCAAGAGCATATTCGAGGCATGAAAAGTGGTGAAAGTTTTCTCCAACATGTCATGATCAGTAATATTATCACTACATAGTTTCAATTGGAAAATAATTCTGAACATAGTAGAATTATACTCACTGATAGATTTAAAATCTTGTATCCTTAGATGAGTCCAATCATAACGTGCTTGTGGAAGAACGACCATCTTCAGGTGGTCATATCTATCTTTCAAATTATTCCACTGTATGACTGGATCTTTAATAGTGAGATATTCCATTTCCGAGCCTTCATCAACGTGATGGCGTAGGAATATCATTGCTTTGGCACGGTCTTGGTTTGGTGCTTGATTTTTGTCCATGATGGTGTCTTCCAGATCCATCGCATCAAAATGTATTTCAGCATCAAGCACCCAAGACATGTAGCTTTTGCCTGATATATTTGGGCTACAAGCTCAAGTTTAGAAAGATTTGACGTTATTTAGGAAAAGAAAGTTCGTACCTCTGATACTTTCAAAGTATTTGTTCGAGATGACAGAGTCTCGTGCTGATAACGTGTTATAAAATAAAGACTGTAAAGTAAAGACAAGTATAGAGAGAAGCTGATATATTATTCAAATTTCAAATTTATGTACATAATGAATTGAAATTTCCTCTATTTATAGAAAAAAGTAAGTTGTTGTGTAAGCTGCTTCTGCAAGCTGTTGTGTAAGCTACTACTGTACCAGATATAGATAATCTTCTACCAAGGATAATGTTTATCCATAATGAGGTACCGAAAGGATAAGCTCATTATACCAGATATAGATAATCTTCTATCGGGGGTAATGTTTATCCATAACGGAGTACCGAAAGGATAAGCTCATTATACCAAATATGGATAATCTTCTACCGGGGTAATGTTTATCCATAACGGGGTACCGAAAGATAAACTTATTGTACCAGATATAGATAATCTTCTATTGGGTGTGATATTTATCCATAATGGGGTACTGAAAGGATAAGCTTCTTCATGATACTTATTTTCAATAGAGTACTAAATAGATAAACATATTTACGGCGGAATCTCATATAGATAAGCTTATTCATGAAGCTTATTTACAACAGAGTACTAAATGAACATCCCTAATAATATATTTGTAACAACTTATAAATATTGTTTCTCAAATTCAACTTAAATGTTTTTTTTTTTTTCACTTCAACCAAATATTATCCAAACGCTTATGAAGAGGTTGATTTATTTAGGCAGAATACGTAGACAACCCCTTAAACTAAGGTCATGACGTATTGGCCATCTCAACTCTAATCAAATGTCTCAATTAAACCCAAGTTGAAAATTTTGTGCACAAATAAAAGCGCGTGCACCTCACGCATTCAACGTGGAAGATGCAACCAATTACAAAGAGACAAAAATGTCCTCTCCCTCGCCTTTCTATTCTTCTTCAACCCTTCCCACTTCTCTCTATCTTCCCGTCTCTTTCTCTCTCTAAGATATGTATATCCTCTCTAATCCTCCCACTTTCGGTCTTTTTCTCCGGAAAATCAAAGAAGAGCCATCAAAAGTTGGCTGGGATAATGAAGTAGAAAAATATTTTGGCCGGAAAATAAGCCGGCGGAATCTCTTTTTAAAATGGAGAAATTAAAATTTTGTTGGATAAAATCCTAACTCGAATTCACCAGCTGTTAGGGGCAATTATGCCATGAAAGATGCTAATGAACCTACTACCTAGGCGTGAGTCTTTGCACGATTCTTGTTGTTCGTGGCTTGTGAAAAATATGGCCAAGTTTAAGGGGCTTTCAATGTATTCTGCCATTTATTTACCAAAACAGCTAAGTAACACAAAGCCTAAGGCCATGTTAGTGATGGCACTTTAGGGAATCAAATCATGTTGTGATCTTTATCATAGAAATAGAGACAAGGTTCTTTAAAACATTTCATTAATTGGGTCCTAAATATGGTCCCTGCTGCTGGCTGCTACTTTAATTGCACCCATACAGATAACCTTAATTGGAAAAAGAGAAAGTAAACGCTACTAATGTACTGTGTGTTTCTTTTTCTTTTTGGGTCGTTTTCCCAATCTGTTGATTTTTGCTTTTAACTGAAAGAAACTTATTCAAAGAAACTAAAAGTAAATGTTTGCAAACTATTCAAAGAACGAGGAATAAAGTTCTCTTCAACCTGCGAGGATCCAAGAGGGCAGTTCTGTTACTAATTATCCTTTGTGTTTTATGCTACCTTTTTTGGTGAGAGTTTTAAGTAAAATATTCGATACTCCTATTATTTAACAGAAGGATAAACTACCCAGCTTAAACAATGGTAAAATAATATATTATATTTTCATGAAGATTCCCATTGATATTTCAAACTTATTTATTAAAATTATCCTAATTTTGTATATTACCCGCTCCAAATCCATTATTAGTGCATCAAATTAGGAGATACTTTGATTGGAAAAAAAGGCATAACTAAAGTGAGCAATGGTGTTAACCACGTTTGAGTATCTGATGGTGGCAATAGTAGCTCCCGTCATCGAAAAAGTGTAGGCCCGAAGTATACAATCCTAGATCGTGCTGAGTTGTTGGAATAGTTTGAGTGATTGGCAAGATTGGCTTGAACATCAAGTGGGTTATGAGTCTCGAAACGATAAACTTTGACTACAAAAATGCTTGAACCAGTCACAAATTAAATTTGCTATTAAACTCTTTGAACTGTTGAAGATGATTGGCTTTTCCATTGAATGGCTCTGTTGAAACATTATACTACTATCCAAAGTTGGATGAAATGAGTTGGATGAAAATCCTCCTCGACAATGAGTTGTAAAGAGTTTTTAGTATTCAGGTGTTTGATTCTCCACAATTGACAGCCATTAAAAAGCTTTGAAGCTTGGAATTCGAATTTGGGTTACCATTATTTGTTTGGATTGGGTGTTGTTGCAAACAATGTGGAATATTGTTTGGAGTTTATATCTCAATTTTGAGGGTANTATAAAATTTGTATTTAAGTTATCAATACTATCTTTTTGCATAAAGTTGTTGATATGTATCAAATTTGTCCAAATATTTTACGAGGTTAAAAACTATCGTGCGGGGCTAGTAAAGTATCATGCTTCACTTGATTGGATACATCGTAACCAATACACTAATCTATCACAAATTAACGAAACCTATTTAAATGAGCACTAAAATGGATACATCGTACTTACAATTAATATTATACAATTTGATGGTACAACAACATATAAATTTAAAAATAAATTTCGTACAAATTTAATACAAATTGATATATCTACAACAACATACATACTAAAAATAAATTTCATACAACTAATTATATAGCATACACTTATTTACAACTTATCTACACCTTTTATACAATAATTTTACCTAGTTAAATTACATCTACAATATCATATAACTTTCATACAAATTTTATACAATATTTTTTTTTGTATATTTTGTATCTTATTTGTATATATTTTGTATGTGGTGTGTGTTCCTATCTAAAATTTCAATCAAAACTCTTTCTTAATACAATTTTGATACATATCAATAACTTTATGTAAAAAGATTGTATTGATAACTTAAATAACAAATTTTATACAACGATTCATACATTATACAACTATTTTTCAACTTTCATACAACATTCAAATAAAAATATATATATATATATATAACTACAACATAATACAATTTGCATACAATTATACTACAACTTTACTACAATTTCGTAAGTATATTGTATGTCATGTGTTCTTCTTCTTCTTCTTCTTATTCGAGTTTCAATCTGAAATTCAGCCAAAATCAAGTCTAATCTTCACCAAACACCCTCAAAATTGAGATATAAACTCCAAACAATATTCTCAATTGTTTGCAACAACATCCAATCCAAACAAATAATGATTTTTGAAAATCCAAATTCGAATTCAAAGCTTCAAAGATCTTTAATGACTATCAATGGTGGAGAGTCAAACACCTTCAAAATTTATTGATTGACAATTTCAATTTGAACACCAATTGTGCAACATGAAATGAAATTGCTAAGTAAAAACTCTATAGTAAAACGATTGAAATCCATTAAAAATATATACAACATAAAAGGATAAAAAATAGAAAATATCAGAGGAATAAATATTGAGGAAAGAACAGAGAGTGACGAAGAGAGAGCGCAGGTGAGAGAGAGGGAGAGAATAAGGATGAGAAATAATTGATTTCCTATTCAATTCCTAATATAAAGGAATACTCATTTAAAATCCTAAAGTGTATATAATTGTTAAATTGTATATGCATATATAATTAAATTGAAACTTTGAGTAGGGATGGTAATAAAGTTTCAAATAATGTATAGGAAGGTAAAAATCCAAAAAAATTACAAACTATACAGCTCCATTTTGCAATAAGCCCAAATTGGTTAACGGGTAGATTTTCATTCATTTCAAACAGGGCTGGTTCGCTCATCCAGAGACGAACCAGTAAGTAATGATTTTGCAAGCAAACAAAAAATTCAAGTCCCAAAAACTATTTTTTTTTTCCCAAGATGTTCAACATGAACTAATTAAGCCTGTAGATTCAGTCTTTAGATATTTATGGAAATCATTAACTGTACATTCAGCAGGGAAAAGAACAAAATAACCAAAAGAACTACAAATCTGGCACATCATAGCCTAAACACTTTGCATTAAGGTACTAGATAGCTAGAAAAATTCATTTTATCACCCTTAGGAATTCCAGAATTCTTGATAGTTTGAGCTGCGGTAACAAAATTGAAGCTATAACCAATAGACACTTGGATTGATGGCTTTCCATCAGCCAGCATGGCTCAACGGCACGTGACCTTACAGCTTACATGACCGTGAATCGTGATGCAAACTGCCACGCATATACTGCTCTACTTGCTGCCTTAGTTCTGCTGGATAGATCTATTCTGCATCGAATCTGATCTTCTTCGGTGCAGCCTGAATTGAACCCACCTGCAAATGATATTGCCAAAATTAATTCTAACTTATGTTTTTCTAAGGTTAATCTATTCAAGTCTAATTCTTTGGAGGGTGCATCGTAACATAACATATTATACTTTTTAATATGTAGCATACAGAATAAATAGTCATGCACAATAAAATACACAGAAAACCTCATATATATGTGATAGATTGCCAATTCTCTAAATTCATAAATTTTGGTGGCTCCTTCGTAAATACCATAACCCCTGCATGTAACTTCCTAATGGACTGTGCAATAGTTTCAGCTAACCTATAAAACTCTTGCATTGTTCACGTGCAAAGGCCAAAGCATTGGTCACTTTCCTAATTCCAATTCTTTCGAGTGGTTAGCCAAGTGATTAGCATTCTTGCACCGACGAAACAAATGCTGCTCAACAGTACGATACTAGCCGAGCATGCAAAAGTTGCTATAAAGAAAATATCATGTGCAAAATCTAGTTAACTGCTATATTAACCAAAACATAAAAAGAGTTTCCGTACTCTAACTAGTAACAAGCTGGCTGTATTTGCAGCATCACAAAGTAAGACTGAGAATAAATGAAGCTCATATGTTCTTACAATTTCTGGGCACTCATAGTCAATTCCTGCTGCTTCAATCCTCTTTCGCCTCTTCTTGTCGCGCTTTAATATTTCTTCAACCAACTTCTTGTGCTCATCCAGTGTTCTTTCCTGGATATGATTGTTGGCACCCAACAAGCTTATATTTGAAAAGATAATGGGAGTTCATAATACTAGACTCTTAACATGCTCTTAAGTCTTAGCACATGCCAAAAGCAAAAATGTTAATATCCCACTGAATCTTTACCTTATCTTGACGCTTCTTTTCAATTTTAACCCAATCCAAGGGTTTGTACCAGCGGTTCACACCTTTCCACCTATGTACAAATCAGAGTTGTTAATCACCATCAGATAAAAATTCAAATTTTGAAATATGCATCTCCATGCTAATGAAGTATCATAACCTACCCACTAAATTTTCACTACTTAATAGTCCTTGTGAAGTTTTAAAATATTCACGATAATACCATGGTTCTAGATATATCTTTTGCTCCCTTATAATGAGATTATGTAGTCAGAACATGACCAAATTAAATGTCTTCAAGTCTATGTACATGGGAGGAATCATATCATCATGAAACCAAATAACTTGTGCATCTCAATTTTCAATCTTGAACTCATAACTCATAATGTAGGGAAAAGATTAAGAATAATATCAGACTTTTGGTGTCTTTAGTAACAAGAAATTTACATAGCAGAGCTTCAAATATATAATAAGCATTATCAGCACTTCAAAACTGCTCTCTGACATGTAGAGATCCCATTATGTACCCGACCAGAGCACAACATGCAACAACATATTTACACTATTTCTGAAGGTGCAATATGTTGGCTAGTCTTTCACACACAAAATTTCAGAGCTTCCAATAATTTATTTTTTACTTTCCGCCCAAGCCTAAGCTGCACCTTTTTCCTTCCCTCGGTAGAAGTTGTTGCCTATTCGGAATCTTTAAGACTAAGCATATATAATTTTGAAGCAGAAAACATTCAATCAATTACACTAGTACTTCAATTTTGCAAGTTGATGTATTTTTAAAAAATATATGTTTTATCATACACAAGGGACCAGAGCACAACATGCAACAACATATTTACACTATTTCTGAAGGTGCAATATGTTGGCTAGTCTTTCACACACAGAATTTCAGAGCTTCCAATAATTTATTTTTTACTTTCCGCCCAAGCCTAAGCTGCACCTTTTTCCTTCCCTCGGTAGAAGTTGTTGCCTATTCGGAATCTTTAAGACTAAGCATATATAATTTTGAAGCAGAAAACATTCAATCAATTACACTAGTACTTCAATTTTGCAAGTTGATGTATTTTTAAAAAATATATGTTTTATCATACACAAGGGACCAGAGCACAACATGCAACAACATATTTACACTATTTCTGAAGGTGCAATATGTTGGCTAGTCTTTCACACACAGAATTTCAGAGCTTCCAATAATTTATTTTTTACTTTCCGCCCAAGCCTAAGCTGCACCTTTTTCCTTCCCTCGGTAGAAGTTGTTGCCTATTCGGAATCTTTAAGACTAAGCATATATAATTTTGAAGCAGAAAACATTCAATCAATTACACTAGTACTTCAATTTTGCAAGTTGATGTATTTTTAAAAAATATATGTTTTATCATACACAAGGGACCAGAGCACAACATGCAACAACATATTTACACTATTTCTGAAGGTGCAATATGTTGGCTAGTCTTTCACACACAGAATTTCAGAGCTTCCAATAATTTATTTTTTACTTTCCGCCCAAGCCTAAGCTGCACCTTTTTCCTTCCCTCGGTAGAAGTTGTTGCCTATTCGGAATCTTTAAGACTAAGCATATATAATTTTGAAGCAGAAAACATTCAATCAATTACACTAGTACTTCAATTTTGCAAGTTGATGTATTTTTAAAAAATATATGTTTTATCATACACAAGGGACCAGAGCACAACATGCAACAACATATTTACACTATTTCTGAAGGTGCAATATGTTGGCTAGTCTTTCACACACAGAATTTCAGAGCTTCCAATAATTTATTTTTTACTTTCCGCCCAAGCCTAAGCTGCACCTTTTTCCTTCCCTCGGTAGAAGTTGTTGCCTATTCGGAATCTTTAAGACTAAGCATATATAATTTTGAAGCAGAAAACATTCAATCAATTACACTAGTACTTCAATTTTGCAAGTTGATGTATTTTTAAAAAATATATGTTTTATCATACACAAGGGACCAGAGCACAACATGCAACAACATANAACCCCCAACAACAATGTGGATTATCAGGTAGCCGGTTCTTCCATGAATCCCCAATATATTCTTTAATCCAACCAAAAAAGTGTTCGGAATGAAAATTGATATGCAAGTAAAGGGGAGAAAGAGAAAAAATGGAAAGAAACCACAGAAATTTAACAATCTCTTCAGAGTTGGACATAAAACAAATTACCATTACAAATTGGACGAGAGAGAGAAAGAGAGACCCTTACAGTCTTGGATGTACATGTTCAGGAGGAATAAGATGAACTTGCAATAAGTGCTCAAACAAGAGATAATTATGCATAGTATCCGCAACAACTTTTACAACCTGCACTTACACAAAAAAGACAACCAGAACGGAAAGAAAATGATCAGAGGATTTTTTTGAGATTGAAATGATCAGAGGATTTTATAAATGCATATCTATAACACTACAAAGCAGCTAGGACAAGTACAACACCTCAGGGGACTCAAATTCTATGAAGCCAAAATGCTTTGATTTTCCTGTCTGTAAAGGAAACGAAACCAGGATAAGACAATGAACAAATAGAAAAATTACCCAAAGGAATGATAACCATATCAGCGCATTAACATATAAGATATGTAGCTTAAAGGATACATTTGCAGTGCATTCCCATAAGAAAACAACAATAAAGGTGTCAATGGACTAAGAGATGAAATAAGTAGTTTGAAGGATGAACTTGAAGTGAATGCTAATGAATCACCCTTGACCCTAAGCTACTACATATTTATGGCCTATAGTTTCACAACTCTCTTGTAGATGAAAAATACTTCATAATCTTTAAAAGCAGGATTCATAATCAAGGTGTTTCCTTTATCAAAAGAATAATTAAAATTGTAGTAGGACATTGAAGAAGAAGAGCAGAGGCTTGGCACAAGAATGAATTAACGAGATCGAACAGTAGTGTGACAGGAGATAAATTGGGTATTGCTTAACTTAGAAGGGTGACCTGGCTGGTTTGTGAATTTGTATGTGATTCGATGCATGCTTTGGTTGCATCCGCTGGAACCGTGTCTATGAAAATTATTGACATTTAGAAAAAAGGAATAACTTGGATACTAAGATGAAGTAAGTTGAACGTGGAAATATTACTGCCCAAAAGACTTTTCTATAATTTGTTATATATTACTTCCACAGCCATGATTTACTCTTGTTTCTTAAGTTACTTTCCTTCAGTTGTAGAACAGACTATCATAAATAACTAGAAAACATCAATGGTCCTTAGTATTTGAGTGAACCATCTTTCATTAATAAATTTGGACTTTTTAGTTAGCAGATATGTTAAATATGTAATAACATTAATAACCATAAAGCATTAGATAAGACAGTTAAAGACCAAACATAACAGAAACTCTAGTCTCTAAACAATGACAATCAACAACTAACAATTGGCAGGAATATTTACCTTATTATTCCTTGAAATTCTGAGCCTCTTGATTGTACCAAATTGCTTAAAGAAACCTGAAAACAACATATACGGTATATCACACAATTATTAAAATTCATACTCTTACACATAAGAGGAAAATATCAATTATCTTAATAGGCTCATTTACAAATAAATTTATAGTGACAAATGCAAACCTTCCATTTCATTCTCATAAAATCCATGCGGGATTCTCCCAATATATAAAACTGTGGCTTTATTTTCCCTCACTTCAGTCTTTGGAAGCTTCTGTGCTGGCCCACCTTCTAATGACTATTTTTTTAAAGGAGAAAAAACAAGTCATAGACAGCACACCAATTGCCAAATTTTTTTTCTCTTCTTCTTTAATAGTAAACAGAACAACAGATTGACTTTGAATTTTACAGTAATGATTCTAATGAAGATCATCGCCCACTAAAATTTCAACAGAGCAAACATAAGACTGTAAGTTACCTAAAATCTATCTCACACAAACCCATCCCCTCCCAAGAATATTTCTTTTGAAGCTTTAACCCATGATTACAAAGTAGCCATAGCATCTTTAAGAAATGTCAGATGCTCAAAGCTCCTTTTTTTTTTCTACTTGAAAAGTAAAAGCTCTATTATATCATCTAGACCATTTACATTTCTTTGCTTCACCAGATTCTATATTCTTCAGATATCGATGTTTCAAAGTATGACATGACACCTATCTTCCGTCTTTTTTTGTGTATGTAAGGTAACTGAAATTTTATTAGATTTAATTTCCGAGCACTAAGATAGTGCTGGATAGTATATCACGACACCTATATTCCTTCAAAGCATCTAGCATTCCTCTCCTTCCACATTGTCCATGAAATGCTTATCAAGCTTGAGGTCCACATAGCAAGGAAAGCACTACCTCTAAATTATACTGTCCTTCTCCAATTGCTAGACCTATTCGCTTGATCAAGGACAATTTGACCAGCTTTTGAGTTACGTTGGATTCAAGTCAATCTTTTGGAAAAAATATTTACTTGAACATTAGTGTAATAGATAAAATAAACTTTGAATTAGTAGAAGTTAATGCCAGATTTATTTAATAATTTTCTCACAATTTCAATAAACATCCATATGAATAACGTACCAGAAAGTCATGAGCTACATGTTTAAAAACTGAAGAAGCAGAAAAATCGCTTGCCCCCTTCTTCAATTTCTTGGTAATTGCTTTCTTCTTTGCTTTAGCACCCATCTCGCAGAGTACGGTGATAAATAAGCCGCTGAATTCGCCGGAGTTGGCAAGCGCGAGAAAGGAAAAATTAGTTTGTTGTTGGGCGATATCTTAAACCCTAAACCCTGTGTTCGGATCTTCTCGTATTTTGTTTTCGGGTCGAACCACCCGCCCAGAATTTGAAGGTTTGACAGTTGTGCATTTAAACGCCTAATGGTTTAGAGATTGGTGTTTAGACTCCTAAGGTTTGCCCTTTGAGCATTTGAACTAAGAAAAAGAAAAAAAGGGTCATAGACAACAGAATAAAATTTAACCATGGACATACAGGTGCTATCACAGGTTTGTACTAAGGTATTCAACCATGAAAACCTTGGTTTACTCATACTGATTTGTGCTGGACTATTTTGGACAGTTTAAGTATTGTATGGGGTTGTATCATTTCTAAGTGGTATTAGCATTATATAATGCTCATTCTGGCGATGGCATAAGGGAAGGTATTGTCCTGCTTGTTCTCGATTATAGATAACCCTATGTGTGCAACTGTTTGGTTGTTTGAATTTGACTATGCACAATTAGGTTACAAACTATATTGGGTCATGCTGGTATAACTGTCTCATGCCTATTACTAGAGCACTTACCCCCAATTCGAAGCTCCTCTAGAAAATCACATTTTTTCTCCCCATCCTTTTTATGTAATCCTTTCTTTCGTTCTCGTCTTTCCCGTCTCCCGCCTCCAATCTTTTTTTCTCCTCCAACTTATTCACGTAAGTATACATCACCATTTTACCAGTCCTTGATGGGAAAGAAAATAAAGGGAAGATGGTATGGCTAATTTAACATGAATTATATTTTGAGAAAGGAATAAAAGAGATGGGAGGAGACAAAAGAGAAATGGATTGTTAGAGATTTTTTTTGTTGGTTCGAAGATAGTGATTCACTGGTGGTTCTCGCTTTACATGTTAGAAAAGGACGAACAATAAAGATGAAGAATGGGTAAGATTTGCAGTCGCTGGAGATATTTTTTCGCCAATATCTAAATACTTTTTTGATCGGCAATTTCTGAAACCACAAAGTTTTATAGGATTACTTTATAATTATAAAATTTAGTCATTGTAGTAAAAACACAAAGGCATAAAAATAATCTCCATTACTGGAGCTTTGTGGTATTGATCAGGGGTGGGCGTTCGGTTATGAATTACGGTTCGATACTTTGGTATTCGGTATATCAATTGTGCATACCAAATACCGTACTAAAGTAGTTCGGTACGGTTCAGTATTTTCTTGTTTGGTTCGGTACGATTCGGTACGGTTTCGGTATCGTACCGTCGGTCCGTCCCTATTAATAATGCAGTTATAACTTATAAGTTATAACACTCTCACAGTCCCGCTCTGCGACAGAACACTCAATTTGCACATAACAATGAAGAACTCCCACTGTTAGTTATGCAAACAGAACTACTACTCGATGTTAATTAGCTTAGTTCAAACATCCATGCAGAAACTAATATGGATGTTTCTCAGTTGAACTACCAGTCAGTTGGACAAAAGATACGATTATGGGTCATGATGCTCAATCAAGTTATGTACACCGGGGTTAGAGACATTTTATAAGCTCCAACACAGCCTTCACACTATTGCCTTTCATCTGCTTCAGCTTGCAGAGTTCTATGTATGCTACGGCAATTGCTTCATGTATCAGAGGAAGTTGTTGTAAGTGGTTTGATAGACGATCAAAGTGATTCTGGTCCCTCTGCAGCAATCCTCTTGCACAATGCATCACAATTACTGATTACCTCTGTCAATCGCCCTTTTAACTCCCCAAGTTCAACATGTAAATCATGTACTGCATGCAATTCAAACATTGAGCTAAAAATGCATTCCCTTGCTAGATTAAATACCTCGAATCAGATATCATATGGACAACTATTTTAACTTTATTCTAAATCCCCACAATATAGTAACCCTAGTGATTCCTTTGGGCATTTATACTTTCTTTTGCTTTTCGATATTGGAAACTATAATACCTTCTGATAGATTCAGTTAAAACAAATACCCTCTGATAGATGATGCGAGGCCACTGAAATAAATAATATGGATGTTTCTCACTTCTCAATTTCCGAAGCAATGCAGAAACCATAAAACTACTACTATATGCAGAAACATGAAGAGGTAAATCCTAAAACGTATAAAACATATAACTATTATATGCACTTATGCAGAAACCATAGAAAACATAGAACTACTATATGCAGAAACCATAGAACTCCCAATTAAATAAACAATTTAATGAACAAGACCAATTAAAAATAAATAGAACACTTGGTACTAAAACAAAACCAATTAAGAACAGAAAATAGAACACTTAACGAGTTAACCCAATTAGACAACAAGCAGTTGCCGAGGAGAGGAGTCGTTGAGGTCTTGAAGCTATTATAGTCGTGACTCGTGAATCCGCAGCAACTAAGCAAAGTTGAAATATTTGAGAGAAGTCTAGGTTAGAAAATAGAAAGGAAAATGGGGTTTTTGAGCAGATAGCTTTTCTTGTCTGCCTCTAAGCCTCTAAGGGATTAGGGAATTAGGAGTTTTGGGGTGTGAGCTTAGGCTTATTAGGCTAAAAAATAAAAATAAAGTTGGGCATGGACTAAAATATTTTGGTATTTCGGTATACCAAAATATCAAAAATCCAATACCGTATACCATACCGAAATACTGCAATTTTTGTGCCGAAATAAACCAAAATACCAAAAAATCGAAACTGAAATACCAAATTAATTCGGTTCGGTTCAGAATTTGATTTTTTAAATTTTATGCCCACCCCTATATTGATGGATGAATTTGATAGAACGATATAGTTTGGGGGGGGGGGGGTAGGGAAAAAAA